ATGTTTTCATTCTACATTTTTCATTCTTTCTTTCTTTCTTTTTTCTTTCTTTCTCTTTGCATCATTCTTTCTTTATTTCTTTCTTTTTGCATCTTTCTTTCTTTTTACATCTTTCTTTCTTTCTTTCTTTTTCCATCCTTCTTTCTTTCTTTCTTTTTCCATCTTTCTTTCTTTCCTTTTGAATCTATCTTTTTTTCTTTATTTATTTATTTATTTATTTATTTATTTTTGCATCTTTCTTTCTTTCCTTTTGAATCTATCTTTATTTATTTATTTATTTATTTATTTATTTCTTTATTTCTTTATTTCTTTCTTTCTTTTTGCATCTTTCTTTCTTTCTTTCTTTCTTTTTGCATCTTTCTTTTTACATCTTTCTTTCTTTCTGCATCTTTCTTTTTGCATCTTTCTTTATTTCTTTCTTTCTTTTTGCATCTTTCTTTTTACATCTTTCTTTCTTTTTGCATCTTTCTTTCTTTCTTTCTTTTTGCACCTTTCTTTCTTTTTACATCTTTCTTTCTTTCTTTCTTTTTCACCTTTCTTTCTTTTTCATTTGCATCTTTCTTTCTTTCTTTTTGCATCTTTCTTTCTTTCTTTTTGAATCTTTCTTTCTTTCTTTCTTTCTTTTTACATCTTTCTTTTTGCATCTTTCTTTCTTTCTTTCTTTCTTTCTTTCTTTTAATCCCTCCTTACCCTACCATACCATTATTATCTGTATTATCTCCTTTTTCTTACAACCTTTTTGCCATAAGTATCTTTAAATTCTTACTCTCCTTAATCACCCCTTACCTCTTCCTTTTCTTTTTCCTTCCTGCACTATTCCTCACCGCCCCACTACACCCTTTTTATATTTCACACACAGCACCATTCCAGTTGATTTCAATATTTAGTTCCCGCTGTGACATACAACAGCATCTTCTACCACCCCAGGGCATAAAATTAAGAGGGGCAGACCAACAAACATGCAGTTCATTTACTCCAATAGACTCACAGTTGGATGAGAACTCGACTTAATCAACCCTCTCCCATTTATCAGCAAATAATAAGTGCAAATTTTTAGAAAGGGCACACGTTAATCTCAAAGTTGCCATGACTACAAAACTAATCATTATTGGCATTAATTTTCACCCCCTTTTTGGGCTAATAATTACCCTAGAGCCATAATAAAATAATACGCTGGAAAATGGTTGTTCCCCAAGGGCTATGAATGTTTAAGCTGTGAGGTTGTACACTATTTACTCAGTTGAAAAGAAGATGTGCTAATATTTACATTAAGATTCATAAATAAGAATTTCTAAATTGTCTGTTTTATTTTTTTTAAATCCTCATGCCTAGAGAAATATGCAGGAAGTGTTTATTGAAAAGCATCTCTGATCATTGCTAACTTAGAATTCCTGCCAAAGAGCCTGGCTTGTTTTGAAGGGTAATTACAATCATATATTATCCTTTTGATCTTTGACAATCTTCAAGGGCAATTTTGTAAAGTGAATTGACTAAAAAAAAAAATGAAAACAAAAAGCTAAGAGTAATTTAAGGGAGGTTGTGTTCTAACCATCAATTGAAAGAAACCCAGAAAATAAAGCAAGAAAGAAAGACTAACTATCAATTGTAAGAAAACAGTATGGTCATTAACAAGACGGACAACTGAATATGTCAGCTACAAATTGGAGATATAAAAAACTCCAGAAAATACAGAAATTTAACTATCTGGGACGTATTATAACAATGCCTGTTTTCCAGTTCACACTCCTTCCAGGTTTTTTGAACAGGAGTAGAGTTTTATCCCTTGTTTCCTGTTTAGGATTGGGTTCCCAGTTCCTTCTAAAGTCTGTTTCACCCCTATACTCTTAATGCTTGTCATTTTCTATGCTAATATAAGTCCACACTGTAACCCTCTACCTTGAGCGGCTCTTGAGCCTTGAATTGTGTGAACATTAGTAAAAAAAAAAATTATAAATGATAGAAACTGCGACACAGAAAGCCAAATAATAATGATAGATGCTTTCAAAAAACTAATCAAAGTATTAAAAGACAAGAAAAGAAAGCAAGAAGAAAGGATTAATCATTAATTGTAAGAGGACAGACTCTAAAAGAGCCGAAGATGAAAGCTAAAAATGGAAATGTTAAAATCAAAGAAATACAGAAATTTAACCATCTGGTAAGTTAAAGGGATTTACTTCTTATTGGTTGGGTATCTGCCAATGAAGAGGCACACTAACCTCAGCAGCACCTCTTTAATCAAACATTGGATCAAGACATGTAGGGCATAGACATGACTTCCAAATGGGAACACCACACGTACGGGACAAACACAGCTAAGACACCAAAAACACAAACAAGGACGAACAAATGTCTGTGTCAGTGAGTGTTTTATTGAATGTGACAGACAAGGAAAATTGTATAAATTTTTATTCAGTTTTTCTAAAATTTATACAATTTTTCTTTTAGAAAGACAAAAATATGGAATTAATCCGTTACATTTAAAATTACTAGAACACCTAAACAACTGAGCTTAGAAGATAAACATATAAAAATATACTAACAACAAACCACTTTAAAATAGTTAATGAATTGGTTGAAAGTATTTGGGAGAATAATCATTATACACAGTTACTATGATCTCTCTATCCTCATAAAAGAATAGAAAAATTTATGTTGGCCAGTTTTCTAAAAGTTGAACATCTTCATTCACAAGAAATGTTTTTGTTGTACATGCTGTGTGGAAAAAAGAATCATAATGCTGAAAAATTTGTTCATCTTGTGGCAGAAAATTAGACTGTAGTAAACTAATATAGTTTTTGCTGTTTAGATTTGAAGTGATTTTCTCCTTATTGGTTGGGCAACTGCAAATGAAGAGGGATGGAAAACTCAGCAACACTGGAATCAAACACTTGATCATGACGAGCAGGACACGGACAAGACTTTCACAAGGGAACACCACACGTATGTGACAAATGCAGCCGAGACATTGGAAACACAAAAAAGGATGAACAAATTTGAAATGACGGTAGGTGGCATGAACAAAAATCCTTGGCAATGCATAACAATCACATTGTGCGATCAATGTGGCACACTGCCAAGCTCTCTATCCTCCCAGAAAATCTGCCATTTTGTCACTCAACTGTAATCTTTAACAATGGCAAAAAATCATGGGTTATAGTGAGAAAGTTCAACCTGCATCTAACATTCCGTCATTATTCACTTCTAACATCATAAATTTGGAAATATAATGAAGGGATTTTCTTTTTATTAGTTGGATATCTGCCAATGAAGAGAGATGGAAAACTAAACAGCATCAGAAGCAAACACTGGATCATGACGAGCAGGACATGGACAAGATTTCCACATGGAAACACCATACCTATGGGACAAACAAGACACCGGAAATGCAAACAAGGATGAATGAATCTAAAATGACATTCTTGGTTATACACTACATTCCCATTGTTTATTCAATGAAGCATACTGCCAAGCTCTCCCAGAAAATATGCCTGATTTTATGGAGCCTAAAATTTAAGCAGTTGGCTAGCAAAGGAATCATTTGCATAACTAACACCGCTCAGCTCATCGTCTTGACTATCACATGGAAGAATTATTAAACACTTTCTTTCTTCATAACCAGATGTTCTGGGGTTCGGACTGGCTCTGTTCTGGCAGGGCAGCCATGTACTGTCTTTCTGCAGAGACAGCACACTAAATGATGTCTCCTTGACTGATGGGGGCAGGTACAATTATCAGTAGTGATTGGCTGATTTGTCCACATTTTGTTTCTGCAACATAAGTGTTATAACAGATGATGGAAAATCCAATGGTGCATGTGAAAGATACCTTCCAAGATACTAAGCAATAAACAGAAAAATTTCATTGGAAACAAATATAAGAATATTCAACTTTTCTGTAGTATATACTGTCTTATTTGACAATTAATGTTGGACAATTTCCTCACCTATGAAGAGGAGAATTGAAGTTGCAGAGACACTGTTCTACAGTAAAATGCTGAGATTACGATGGACAGAACATATGATGAATAAGGAAGTTTTGAAGAAAATGGGTGCAAAAAAAAGGATGATTTTACTTTGAAGCAATTGTAAATTATGAGACACAAGATGAGGATTGAGGGCTTGGAAAATTTGGCACTCACAGGACATATACAAAGAAAAACAAAGAGTTGTTGCAGGTGGTATAATGGCCCACAAACAGATATTGAATGATGGAAGACAACAACAAACAAAACAAAAACTACATCAACAAAAATAATGTTACAGTGTACTAGGCAAAAAATAACTTTGCAAGCTCATGAAGAGGGTGAGAAGAGTGTTGTCCTGAGAAGGACAGTTTATTGCATAATATTGGCAAGGATGGCTGGCACAGGAAACCTGTTATAGCCAGCTTGAGCAGCAGGAGCTGGAGACCTACTGTAGATGATGATGGCTGGGTAGTTGGAACCGCTGTTGATGGCCTGCTGTCGACTACAACTCTGCTGGAACAGATATTACACTTTGATCCTCATTATATTGACCATGGTAGGCATGTTATTTACCCTGGTCTCCCCACTGAGATGGGATGTGACACAAGGTCATGCTTAACGCAGTGAAACCAAGCATGTACTCTCAGGCCAGGTACAAAAGTTCCCCAAACTCCTGATATCATAGGTTGTGCTGGTCTTGGTGGAAAGCACCTATTCCTGTCTCTAATGCATTGAGAGGAGGCAGCTTTGGGCAGGACACCTGAAAGTGTATTATTTTCCTCAGCTGCAACTCTGTCCACAACTTAGTCACACTCTGCCTGAAGATAGAGACACAACTGGGAGATGATAATCATCCTAGGTATTTACTCTGTCTCCCCACTAAGACGAGTTGTGGCATGTCTTTTTTTGAGGTCGGGACCCGAGGATGTACACCCAGGCAAGGAACAAAAATTGCCCACAGTCCCCGTAACTGTTGGTTGCATTTGCCTCAGTGCGAGCACCAATCCCTCTCTCTGGTGCAATGAGAGGGCATGGCCTTGGGCAACTGTTCCCCAGAGCTGGGCACCTCTCAGTAAAATTTTTCTCAGTTGTGACTCTGTACTTTGACAGAGTTGCCCCTGAGTGCACTCTGCCCAAGGACAGAGATGCAACTGAGAGATGATAATTATTCTAGGTATTTATTCTGTCTCCCCTCTAAGCCCCCGCAAGTTTCGGTCGTGCTGACCTCGGTGCAAGTACTGATCCTTCTTTCTAGTGCAATCAGAGGGCATGGCCTCGGGCAGCTGTTCCCCAGAGCTGGGCACCTCTCAGTATAATTTTTCTCCATTGTGACTCTGTCCTTAGATGGAGTCGTCTCTGAGTGCACTCTGCCCAAGGACAGAGATGGAACTGAGAGATGATAATCATCCTATGTTAGGACCATGGGAGACATGTTTTTTGTTGCTTTTGAGGCCTCTTTACATCCTGAATGAGTCTTACAACAAGTGTTTAAGCCTACCTAAGGAGTTTGTGTAAATGGATGGCAGAAGGTGATCTGGGAGCATTAGTAAGGGGGACAAACATTGCTTACACTTGTCATATCTAAGGTTACCTTTTCAGTGTTTACAAGAGAGAAGTTAATGAAATGTCCCTCATTAAGTCCTGATCTAAATTTGATAAAAAATCTAACATGAAGATGAAATTATATGCAGGTGGCAAACAATATGACAGCAAATCAGGCCTATGAAAAGTCATTAAAACCACCATATCAGAAATTGAATCTGCTGAAATCAAAAATTTAACAAAATCAATGACTAACAGATCATAGCTGTTACTGAGAAGAAAGGTCATTATATTAAGATGTAAATGCTTCAAAGTCATATCATATAGGTTTGTTATTTGTTTTATTATAGATGTTAATAAATTGTTGAGGATTTTATTATTTTGTTATTGATGTAACGGTGGAATAATGGATAGCAGCTCAGATTGAGAAATCGGAGAGCTGAGTTCGAATTCCAGTCAAATCCATAACATTCACTTATGTACTAATACCCTTGGGAAAGGTATA